TGCCAGCTGGGGTTAAACCACACCACTGCCCAAAATGGATCTCTGGAATCATCTGAGAATGCTCAGGAAGAGACTTAAAGGTGGAAGGAATTAAGGCAGGAAGGTAAAGCTTTGCCTGGAGACTTGGGCTGGAGAAGACATATGTCTTGGCAAGATTGTGTGGGATGAGGGTCTTGAGAATCCCCAGTCCTAGGCTGCTCATTTCTGCCCTTGTGCCTTTGCCCCTTGTAGAGGGAAAGGCTTTGGGTGAAAGGCTTAGAAATGCCACTGAAAGAGCAATGATTTGTTACAAATATAAAATGAAGCTTCCTTGCTGGGAAGTCAAGACTAGGCAAAGCTGAACTTAGCTCTTGCCTTTGAAGTATTTATTCAGCAGTCTTATGAATACCTACACACACCTCAGTTACTCTGTCCATAAACTTGGGTTAATGCTATTATTCCTTTAGCTGTCTTATAGATGTTTGTAAAATTAATTATTTTTTAGCTCAAAATTGCTGCACACTAAATCCTACATTATATATTGCACTGGGCTGATCCAGACTTTTAAGAAAGATTTAAAAAAAAGAGGAAGGTGAGGGTGAGTTTGTGTACTGAGGAAATGACAAAGATGTCCTATTTACTGTGGCCGGGCCAGCTTGCTGGATGTGTAAATTATAAGAATTTTAATATAATTGCAACTACCATTTTGGTGTATCAGTTTGAGGGAAAAAAGAAAACCATAACCCCCTTGCTTTTGCTTGCTGTGCTCAAGGCGTGCTGTGTGATTTGCTCTGACAATTACCCGGTCACTCAGCTCTTACCTCTGTCCTAGCCAGAGCTTGCAATAATCAGATTGGGATATGGTTCAACTGCATAACACCCAAGAAACCCTGCCTGGTGCTTTTTATGCTGCTTTTCCATTCCTTCACTGCGTATCTCGCATTCTCTTGCTTTCACTGAATGCATTCACTTTTCCTGCTGTATTATGAATATTTTCAGAGTTATGCTCAAGAGCCACAGGCTCCATTCATAACTGCTTTCCATTAGTCTCTGACCAAATGAGAAGATTTCCCACTCAGGTTTCTCTTTTTACCCAGGAGAATGTAAAAAAATTCCTTTCCATCACTGGTGTGCTTTCTTTGCTAACAGGAAACATTTGGCAAAATGGACTTTCAGAATGTTGCCTTATGTGCTTCTGAAGTTTATTCCTCTTTCTGTAAACTGGTAAGATTTCAGGATGCATCTTTTTGCTACCTAAGACTATCCAAGGGCTACAACAAGATGAAGAATGTTTAAGTGGTTAAATTTCTGCTGATGGCAAATATAATGCACTTATCTTGGTTGCCATTTTACCTGTGTGTGTATTTCTCAAGATTCTTAAGTTATCATCACGTAATTATCATTATGCTCATGATCACTCAGATTTCTTGTATAACCCAGCACTTTCCTTCCAGTTTGTACTGGTTCACATGGTGCTGGGACACTCCTTCTAGAGTGATCCCTGCAACTGCTGAGTTTCACCCCGCAGGTGCAGGTTTCTTGCACCACTCACTGTCTGGCTTTTAGAGTGGCATATTAAATGAAATTTCCAAAGGTCAGAATTGGAGATTTGAGGTTAGAAATGGTGCTACTGCAGAATTGTGATTCAAAAGTGAAGAGCTTTTTTTTTCCTTTTTTCTTTCATAAAAATAGTGTTTGAGAAATCTGAACGGAATCATTTAGACTGCAGTTTATAGTTGCTTAAATTCCTGCCCCCAAAGGTCCAATGTTTGGTTAAATGGGGCTTTGAGCCATCTGATCTAGTGAAAGATGTCCCTGCCCAGTGCAGTGGTGATGAACGAGATGATCTTTAAAGGTTCCTTGTGATCCAAACCATTCTGTGATGTTCTCTGTTGTCTGAGTGGTCTCTCACTATTCACATTTAAAAGGCTTCTGACATGTCTAAGTTGTCTATTATTATGTACTTGGAGCTCCCAGATCTCTTAACAGCAATAAAGAGCTTTCCAGCATCTTATGGACCAAGCAAGAAGGAATGTGTGTATATAATGAAAATCCATCCTATTGTCAGCAAAAATTGGACAAAATTTAAGAAGTACAGGTCACCTAATTGAAGTCATTACTGACTTCCCAGTGATGGATTTTTCTACAAGCCACATTTAAGTCTTGTACAAGTTTAAAAATCTGATTTATTTTTATTTTGTATTTAACTTGATTTCTTCTGCTTAGAAAACTACACCACTTAGGTTACAATGCATTGTGCAGGACACCAATCAACACCTGAGCACCAGGGACTAGGGGTGCTGGGGGACCCTGGCCAGGAGAGGCTGTCCCGAGCCCTGTCCCCGCTGCAGGCCTTTGCCGGGACAGGCCCTGCTGGCCATGGTGCCAGGCTCCAGGGCTGTGTGGGAGGAAACTCGGTGTCAGCAGCCTGTTTTCATCGTGTGCAACGCAAGCCCAAGGCCACGGCCGTCCCCAGTGGCTGCCGTGCACAAACAATGTCCCGATTGTCCCTCGCCGCTTGGACTGTCCCAGAAACGCAGTCACTGTGTCTGTATTAATTAAAAACAAAGCCTGCTTCCAGTGCCCAGCTCCTGAGCCCATTCCGGCAGCCACACCGAAGCAGCCTCTGTGGGGACCTGGGTTGCTTTAAGCTCGGACTAAAGGGGTCGTGGGCTGGGCTTTCCTGGGCTGAAGGTTTGGTGCCACACCAGGCCCTGCCTGCACAAACCCCCTCAGTGCTGCCCGCGCTGGCAAAGGCTGGGCCAGTCTCTGGCCAGCCTGGGTGCTGGGGACAGCTTCACACTTATCTGTGTGATGACAGACTGCAGGGCCACTGCTATTGTTTTATTTGAATTGCAGAGGTCTTAAAGTGCCCTAATCCACTGTATCTGGGATGCACAAATACAGAAAAACCCAGGTGGGTCTTGTTCTTCCTAAGCTCCCTAGGAACAATGCTAGTTAAACAAAATAGGTCAGTGCTCCAACCACACAGATGTGCAACACACACCAGACAGGAGAGATGCAAACAGGAATATTAAGCCATCAAGTGGCTGTTAAAAACTTCATAGGGCAATTAAAATATTACCATCCTTTCATACAAGCAGTGGAAACAAAAGTGGCAATTAGTTTCAGTTACAGCTTTCGAATTCCGGACAAGCATCTTCAGAGGCATTTTCTCTTTGGTCTCCTGATCTGTGCATCCATGACTGCACAGGTATCTGCCTCCACCCTGCAGATGAACATCTGAGCTGTGTGTGATGGGCCCTGTGCATGCTCTCTGTCTGGCAGCCTCTGCCCCATGGTGTCATTTCCCCACCTTTTGCTGCTGACTTATGACAAATGCAGCAAGCAAAGTACTGCCCCCTCCAGTCACTCCTCTTCAGCAATGAACCAGACAACTTTATTGCAAGGGAATTCACTTGTTGCCACCCACTGCAAACCTCCCTCTACACTTTTATGTTGTGGTGATGATTAATAAAAATAACTATATAGGGGTGAAGTACAGGGGTGGTTTCATTCATTCAGTTTGGTGAATCTGCAATCAAAATAAAAGATGTTCCCCAAGGACTCATTCCCAGGCACCCTCTGCCTCCTTCTTGCAGGAAAGATCTGACTGACATGGGGGAATAAACATTAGTATTCATGGAGTTCACCTTAACACAGTTAGTATTTGCCATGCCAAATACTGCAAAACCAGTAAAACCCTCACTTCACCTCTAAAGACATCAAGCTCCTGTGCACAAAGTTTGGGCTGAGGTTGGGTAGGGTTTGGGGTTTTTTGGGTTTTATTTATTTATTTTAGAGTAAAACAAAACAGTTGAGAAAAAAGTTACCAAAATTTTTAGCCTTTGTTTTATTGAGTTACAACAAATGAGCAACAAGTTAGAAAAGTTGGATTTATTCAAACTCCCGAGCATCCTGCTTGTGCAGCGTACTGAAAGGTGGGCAAGTTTCCAACCCCAGCTCATCAGAGGAATGCACTGGACAGCTCTTGCACCCAGGCTCCTGCTCTCCCTCCATTCCCTCCTCACATGTGCACAGACAGACATCCCCACACAGATCCAAATTAGCAGTATTTGAAAAAAAGTGCACTCAGGAACCTAAGAGTGACCTAAAAATTTGTGGCAAGGGTTAATAAGAAACTTCTGTTGTGCGCTACAATGTCGAAAGCAGGACAGCAGACTGCTGGTTATGGTGTCCATCACTGCACCAGCCAAATAAACACAAATTTGGATTATGAAGCATCTTAATTTCCTCATCCCAATCCTTCTGGGAGTTGTACTGCATGTTTAAACAAAAAGTGCTAAAAAAAACTCCCAAAACCAAACCAATAATCAAAAAAAGGCTTTCTAGCCAAATGTTCAGAGACCCACAGCTAGGGCTGGCTGGTGAAAAGTGAAGTACAGGAGCTGGAGAAGACTTGCCTTGTAGGAGCATGGAAAAGCAGAGATTTAAATACTTCAATCAGTAGCATATGGCCATAGAACAAAACAAAAATGTCAGAACAAGAGAAAAAAAACAAAAAAACAAACCCCACTGCTCCAGAACATGTTTAACTGGTCTGAAATGTAAACTGGAGTGGGGATCTGGGCTCAGGTGTTGATCTGCACCAAGATAACTCCAAAAAATTGGAACTCTTTCTTAAAACACTTTGGAAAAAAAGATATCCTTCCTCCACAAAAGACACTTCCCTCCCCCCAACCAACCCCAAAATTTCTCAATTGCATTATATGCAAGAATAACTTGCACCTATTAAAAAAATTAACAAAATTTTTATGTTGTACAAATCTGTTCCAGTAGAGGAAGAGGTTGGGCAGGAAAGTGGGTGGGAGATAAACTAAGAGAAAACTATGTACAAGGACCCTTTCCTCTTTCTTTCCTCTCTTTTGTAACGCAGTAGTAGGACTCTGGCACTAGCAACAATTCCACGATGATGATGCTCCATGAGAGTATTTCTCACGGTGCCTCCACAAGCGCGGTTTGAGACTGGGAGTCACAACATACTCTCTCACCCAGGCAGGAAAAGAGAGTTTTCTTCTATTTTCAGACAGCATTTCCCCTTCAACATCAAGACAGTGTAGCTGAGGAGTACCCCTGCAAAAATTATAAACAGCAGCATATTATTTTTTAGGACATTATGAACTGTTTGAGTTGTTAACTATAATAAGATCTGGTTTACATCCCTGCACAAAAAGTAACACTATTTTGTATGAACTGTACCCTGAGGTCTATCCTTATCACAGCCTCATGTGGTAGGGTGTTGCATTTTTTCTGCATGTAACACCCAGCTAATAATCCCCCATAGACTTCTGACAGGGATATACAGTGCAGCCTTGGCTCAGGCAGAGTCTCACACTGAGTCAAAGATGATGTGTGCACATATTTGGGGCAGCTACTTTGCAACCACAGGACAGAGTGCTAAAACCAAGAAGACTTCAGGTCTTTCTTCCCCAGTAAATCCCCTCATAATTCCTTTTGTTTTATATGATTTTAGAAAATTACAGAGACTAAAAGACAATGTGCCTGTGCTCTGCAGAGCAGCCTCCTGGTTCTGCTATGACTCCTGTGCCTACATAAAGGCTGCAAAATTGGACCAGAGATTAAAAAATGACCCCTCAAAACCCAACCTTCAAACAGACACCAATTCACATGTATCCCCAGTTTATCCCCAGTTGCCAGCAAAAAGCAAAGGCTCTATGACAGGGATTATGCTCAGTTTTTCCACACTGAAGTGTGAATGTGCAAGAAGTGCAAACATCCTCTTTGCCCACCCTGCAGCAGTGCTCACTGAAACCTGAGCTAACTCTATTTCACACCTCTTAGGGATGTCACTATCTGGTCTGTTATTTCCCACAAAAGCAGTGAGCTCTATCTGGCATCTGCAATTCAGAAAGCCAAGTCCAGGAAAAGGCCATAGGCTTGCACCAACATCAAGGGGAAAAGTTCCTCCTCCATTCTTGAGACCTTCCTGCACAGGCCCCTGTTCATCCTGACTCACTGGAAAATTTTAATTGCTGCACTGGGTTTTCCCTCTGAAATCATTCATTATATTAGAGCTTGGGTCTCTAATGCATCTCACTCATTTCAGGGGAAAATGCATATCCTCCCTGCTTCAGTCTCATTCCCTCAAATGTTTTAGGGTGACCTGAATTCTGCAAAAACCACTGGTCAGTCTCATGCTGAGTTACTTCAGGATGCTGACTTGGAGCCCAGCACCAGTAGCAGACACTAGTGTGAGCTTTCTAAATGAAACCCTAAACCTCAAGAAAAGTGAGAACTTGGGCAGAAAAATGAGAAACCGCAGTGATACTCACTTTTGGTGGTTTTGGACACTGAGGAATGCACTGGGTCACAGCAGACAAGTGATCTCAGCTCCTGCAATAACGCAGAAGGGGCTGGAGATGCCAAGAGGACCCAGACTACCTCTGATGCTCAGTTATCATGCATTCAGCAGATGCAATGGATGACTGCCTTCAGGCTTTTTTTTTTTTCCTACTGTGCAACCTTCATGCATGGTTTGACTTTGTCAAATCTCCAGAGAGCAGTGGTCACAGCCATCAAGATCCAGGGGGTTCAGTTACCTCGTTCCCACCATGAGCCACAGGCTTTGGTGCCTGCATCTTGCAGGGTTCGTGCTTAAAAAAAGGAAATAACTCCAAAAAGAGACTGTTTACTGTGGAAAGGTGGTGATGGGGGAAAAACCCAAATCATTCTGAGAAAAAACAAAAGCTCTGATCTTGGGAAAACCCCACAGGGCAACAACACTGAAGAAAGCCAGCAGAAGCTGCCAAACACTCTGGCACGCTCTGGTCCTGCTCTCCTGTCTGAGCTGTAGTTTGCTGTATGTAATTCAGAACCAGTTTCTGTTTGTCAAGTTTGCACGAAGGAGGACAAGGGATCTAATTCTGACCTGTGCTGCAGGAAGGCAGGAACCTTTCCATTGATGGGAAGGGAGCTAAAGCACTCTCCTGACAGAGCAGTTGGGACTCACTACAAGAGGGACACAAAGCTTTGTGACCATCTCAGGACACTTTCAGAGAGGGCTTTAGTGCACCCTACAGGAGTCACTCAACATCTGGAAGGCCCAGTACCCTATGGGGACAGGTCTCCCAGCCTCACTGTTCAAAAAAGCTGACCTGCTTCATAGAATAAATCCAATATTGCCAAAAGCTTCAGACAGACTCAGTAACAGAGCCTCTTCCTAGTCCCAGGATGGCACTGCAGAGCCTGGCATGAATCCTGCTCTCACAGAGGCCCAGTCCCTTGTGAAATTCCCTCTAGCTGCAGCAGCACAATCTGCCAAACAGGGATCAGTTCTAGAAAAACTCAGTTTTTTAAGGCATAAGGTCTGTCTAGGCTAGAACACAGATGATCTCCAATAGTTCCAATCTCCTAAAGCTACATACTGGAGAAGAAAGTGACTGAGATGGTCTGGAAGAACTGAGGTTTTACAAAAGCTGCACACAAATTCAGTCAAGAAGGGTGTGGAAGTCAATCCCCAATAAACATTAATTTCAGACTATGTAGATCAAGCTGGCAAAACACCACCACCATGACTATGAAAAGAGCATGCTTCTGCCTAGTGCACAGTTCAGCAGTGGAAGACTCCCACAGTAAGTGTGGCTGTGTGAGACACAAGGAGAATCCCTTGTCAGCTCTTCAGTCCACCTCTTACATGTGGCACCTGGGGAGGAAGTTAGGAAAAATCAAGCTTTTATGACAACTGACAGAAACAAGTTCTCTGACAGGTCATACAAAAGTCTCTGCTCTTGAGTCATAACCTGGATGTCACTTTGGTGTTAAATTAACAAAGTGTTACCCTAAGTTTTAGCTGAAAATCTCTAAGATTGGCTGCTCAATGAAAGCTTAGAAAAAGTAGCTGAGATTATTCTGTGAGTGCCATCAGTGTAGGGTATAAAGATTCCAAATTTTGTGTCACAATGACTGTGGCAATGCCTCCACGTGTGTGCACCACAGAGCAGGTACTTACATTTCTTAGTTGAGAATTACAAGCAGAATATAGGAAAATTAAAAAGACTAAGTCCCCAGATCAGCACATAGAGAAACTGGCAAGGAGCAGAGGACAAAATGGCCCTCTGACCTTACTGCAATGCTCTTTGTAGCAGAAGTCCTGCTCCAGTGCACTTTTTCTCAGTAGGTGCATTTTACACACAACCACCAGAAAGCTCCTCATCAAAAGGATCACTCAGCAACAGTTTAACTGAGATCAAGGTTCTTATAAAAATTCCTCTCTGATAACACTTGAGCACCTCCAGAGCCCTGAAGCTTTATGGTGAACATCTGTACCAGGGCACAGAGGCAGGAGGTTCACTCCAACATACCTGACACTGCTCACAAGCACAGAAAGCCAAGCACCAAACCTACACTGCTGGAAGGGAGCTGCCACAGATCTTGGCTTCACAGTATAAGAGGTCTGTACAGGGGTTTCAGGCAACTCCCCCTGCTCCTGCCTTCCTCCCCATCACCTCCCTGAGCCCCTGATCTGCTCCCTCTCCTCAGAATCAGTATTTGTAGCTGGAAGGGGGAAGTGTTCTGGAATAACAACCTGGAGAAAAAGAATCCCACAATGCATTTATTCATCACACATTTGACTTTAAAAAGAAGATAAGATCCTGGCTCTCCCTTCTTATGTGGCTGCACAAAAGTGGCACCCCAGTGTGCCTCTGGCTGATATTCCTCCATCCTTCTTCCTTTAATCCCTGCCTCTGACACACAGGTAACACCTGTTCCTCACATCCCTAATTACCAACTTTTAAAAGGACAATGCAGGACAGCACCTTGCAATGTAGTCTGAATCTTTAAGATATTTTGTTAAATAGATGCTGTCATAACATCTATCGAGATTAGCTAACAGAAGTCATAATTAAAAATAATACCACTTCAGCGTTTTGATTTTTATTCTTTTTTCCAACTCCGAGAATATCCAGGAGTCTCTTGGACAAGTATTGCAAATGGAGAAAGTGGAGTGCTAGCCAGCAGGGCTCACTACCAAAAACTGCACCTCTGCAAACAGGTAGTTCAATCCAAGTACTCGTACTATAGTAAGTCTTAAATACAAGTGTGGAGGCACTTCTGTCAGTCCTGGCTTTTGTATTTCCTTTTTTTAATTTTTTTTTTTAAATGAAATGCTAAAGTATATTTTACTTATTCGATACCAGAAAATTACCAATTTTCTCAAACAGGAGTTCTCTCACTATGGTTTTTAATGCAGGATACTGAGCTTCCTGTAGGATAAGCTCTAAAATTGTGGTTTAAGGAAACTCTGGTCTGGGAGAGACAGAGTCAGTTATACTGAGCACAAAATGTTACAGGCTCCAGTGAACTCAATTCCACATACAAGAAATACTGACAGTGCTTGCTACAGATTTACACCTGTGCAACTGTGATCAGAAATAGGTTTCAGCTCTCCAAATAACAAGTCCTTTCACATTGGGAAAGATCATATAACCACCCCCCCCTTAAAGCCAGGCCCTGCAGCTTGCTTTTAAATTCAAAATCCTGTGAGAAGAAGAGCTGCTAAACACCCACACAGCTTAGTCTGGGGCATTTCCTAAGCCTCTAGTGAGAGCAAGCAGAACAAAGCAAGACTGAAGAGAGTTCTCACTTGCAAGAGGAAGAAAACACATTTGCATGAGCCACTTCAGTCCCCACTTTTTTTTTTTTTGCCTCCTTTTGCATAAAGAAGCATCTGTGTCCTAGGCCCTTCCCCCAGTGACCTTTTGTTTTCAACATGGCAGGATGCTGCAAAGGAAGGACCTGAGATGCAAAAACAGGCACAGCCTCTCTTCAGTGATCTCTCAGCAAGGGGGATATTAGCAACTAGTGTTACTTATTATTTCTTGTATGGCTCAGCTAGCATGTTTTATGTGAAGTACTGCAGAGGTTACATAGCTTGTTTAAAGACAGAAGGTTTTAAGGTTTAATCACTTTTTGCCAAAAAAAAAAAATAAATTATGAAAACCTCCCTTATCTAGGACTTGACCTACTAGGAGACAACAAGGCTAATAGCATTAAACCCTCCTCTATCATGCAGTTGGCTTTAATTTACAAGCAGAATGGGTCTCCCTTTTGTTCAGGCATCCAGCAGGCACAAGCATCCGGCAGGGATGGGCTCCAGGGATTTACTCTGAAGCGGGGCTACAGAATGCTGGAAACACAATCTTACAAAAGGCAGGCTCAGAGAATCAGGGCACCCTCAGCATTACCTGTCTATACGTGGGAATTGTCTCCAGATATACTTTCAGAGTCCAAGTCTGGCAGCTCCGTGTGGCCCTCGGGGGCCGTGTGGCTCCAGCTGTCCATACAGTCCGAGGCAGCGTCATCCTCGCCCACCGTCACCTCCACCCAGCTGACCTCTGCTGCCTCCTCGTTCTCCTCACTGACCTGGCCATCGTGGCTGTTGCACTCCAGCCTGTCCACACCCTCTGCTTGGTTCCCCAACAAAGAGTCTTTCAGTGGTTCACAGTCTCTTTTTGCTCTCACCACTGGTTTCCCCCCATTCTCTTCATTCAGTTTTTTATGCTCCTGGTAATGCTGCCGAGATACCTCATTACCATTCTTTGGACTCTCAACGTGTTTTGAGCTCTTTTTCTGGCTTTGCTTGTTATGACCATCACCAGCATACTGCTGCTGGTACTGGTCAATCCATTTAAGTGACCCTGTTCTTAGTGAAGACCGGTTTTCCTTGAACCAGCGAACTATTTCAGTCCTTGTGAGCCCAGTCTGAGATGCTAACTGGTCATACTCCTGCGGCGTTGGCCACTGGGTCCTTGCAAATGTGCTTTTCAATAGATGAATTTGCTCTTGTGTTTTCTTCAGTGTGGTGGAGGACCCAGATAAAGCACCAGGGAGCTGAGAGCTACTCAGAAGTTCTGCCTGACTTATTGCACCATTGGGAGTTCCTTGATCCTTAGTTTTTCTGTATGATCCCATTGAGTCCAAGACAGCTTGCTCCATGCTGTCCCTTATCTTTCTCCGCTCAGAGAACCATGAATCTATCTCCCTCCTACTCAGCTTAGTTTCCACTCGAAGCCTGTCCAATTCTCCCTGGGTAGGAAAAGAGCATTTTAAGAAACTCTCCTCAAGTGCCCTAAGCTGCTCTTGAGTTTTCTCTTTGAATCTCTGGGGAGTAAAATCTGTGTATGGGTGAAAGGACCGGCCATGTCGACCAGCAGAAGGTGCTATTTGATCTTTCCCTAAAGCATCACCAGGAATTTGCACAATGCCCCTCTGACTTCTGTACCTGTGGTCACTGAACCACTTTTTGATCTCACTCCTGGAAAGACCTGTTGCCTCTATAAGTCGATAGACTTCTGCATCATCAGGGAACTGGCTTGCCATGAAACTGGCCTTCAGCTCTGCTATTTGCTCCTTGGTCTTCTTCCGCTCACTGGCCGGTGTCACGGGAACAGCAGTCAGCTTGGCAGGAATCTCAGGCACCTGAACTACGTGGGGACGCTTGGCCTCTGGGGCACTTGACAAGGTCTGTATTGTCCTCTTTTGCCCCTGGTTTGGGGCAACAGCAAGTGTAATTGGTGAACAGGAAACAGTTGAGCCATTTGACACAGGAGTCAACACCAGGCCAGTCTGGCCCAGTATCTGACAAGGCAAAGCTGTCTGGATGATGGGCTGTGGCATTTTTGCAGTTGCCAAAGGAGCTGGCAGGACGGTGATGGTCTGGGGAACTGCCTGGATAGTACCATTGAACATTTTCTTCCTTGCTTCCTCCACTTCTTCAGGAGACCAACTTATACCATGCTTCAAACGCTGCGTAGCAAACCAGATTCGGATTTGCTCTTCCGGATGTTTTGATGCTGCTGTCAACCATGACAACTCTGCTTGTGTTGGGTAAGGAAACTTATTAAAGGAGTTGATCATGGTTGCATTAGTGTCCAGTGCAGAATTGTATTTGGTACTGTTCAGAGGGACCGGGACCTTGGGGACAAGGTTGATATTTGGTGGCAGCTGTACAGAGGGCATAACATGTGCTAACACATCATTGAGAAGGTCTCCATTTATACAGGCAATAGCTTCAGTGGCTTCAGTTATGATGCGGGGGAGAGTGCCATCCACGTGGTTTTCCGTAACTCCCTCCTCTGGCTTCTTAGATCCCTTCTTGGTTTCCCCTTTAGGCTTTCCCAGTTTCATCACTGGCACTTTATTTGCACTGATTCCCCCGTGAAGTGAATCGTCACACTCTGCATTTTCTAGCCCACTGCTTGTGACAGTGACATCATTAGTAGTGGTCTCAATAGACTGCTCTAAAACAGTCTGATTATTGCGTTTAATTAATTTCAATTTAAAGTTAGTCTCTCCTGGGTGGTATTTTGTGTTGTGGTCAGATAACGAATCATATTTTTTGGTTGTGAAGTTGCATTCAGCACAGACATACAGGGGGTTGAGAATGACATTTGGATGCTGAGTATCAACATGCTCTGTAAATTCATTTAAGTTTTGTGTTGAGTAAGGGCAGTACTTACACTCATAACCACCCTGGGGCTTCTTAGACTGATTTTCAGCTGGGGGCTTCGCCTCCACCACTTCGCAGTCTTTGACTGAGTTTTCTGAAGGCCAATTTTTTTTTGAGTCCTGCTGTGATGCACCAGTGCCCTTCTCTTTAGGGGTCTCTACGCCCTCAGCGCTTTCCTGCTCCACGACTTCAGAAGTTCGCACCATACAGGGAGTTGTGGACTTTCTTTTGCTGGCCATGGCAGCTGCTGGCACGGTGCTGCTGTCCCAGATGGTGGCTTCTTTTGACAGGCTGAGCAACCAACTTGGTAGATCTTGCCAACAGCTCCAAACTTCCCTGATTATTTGACTCTGTTTTGTTTAAAGAAATTCTGCCCTGGCTGTGACCATCAGCTCCACCAGTAGACCTGTCAGCTGCATGACACCTGTGAAACAAAGCACATGTTGTTAGGCACTGATCAATAAAACACAGATTCAGCAGAAAGCCACAGCTCAAGGTGTGTGCATTTGCAAGGCATGTGCATATTTTGGATATTGCCAAACTCTTCTTCCTCCCCCATCATCATTTTAAGAGCCAAAAATCTCCCCACGAAGAATAAAAGCAATGGGTAATTTGCAATGAAGTGCACCACAGGAAGAAAATGACTGGAACAAATAAGATGAAGAGACAGAGGATTTTAATTTCCAATAGACTTAGTGTGTTTAGTTAGGAAAAGAAGATACTGCTATAAATACTGCATCTTTTTATAGAAGCTGCAATTCTATTAATTACTATTTTGAAGCCTGCAGATTTGAAATTGAGTGTGATTTATATTAAACTTAATTACTTCCCACTGTCACTTACCTTGTAAATATGTCTACTAAATGATTGTGGTTACTAAGGATGGGTGATTTCTAAATAAAGCTATAGGATCTGCCTTGGTTGTAAAAGTAATGGCAGAAAGAGGAGTTAATGCAAATCAACACTTCCAGAGGTCTGTGCTTTGAGAAAAAGTGAGCTCAAAGAAACTCATCAGGAAACTACAACAGATTTGTGGAGGCCTATCAAGTCTTTTCCAGAAGAGAAGTTTCCTTAAAACACCACTTTTTCCTCAACATTGACAGAAATAGCTACCAAAAGCCACTGAAGCCCTCAGATACCTTTTAAACAGGGTCCCTTTCTGTCACCCCACTGATAAAGTCCCAACTTGTGCATGTCACTCCCTACAGAATTTAAAAAAAAAAACAAAAACAAACCAAAACATTTTAAAGCTTTCTTTTTATATGGAAGCACTTTTTAAAGTTCCCAAATGCAAGAATTCCATAAAATGTATTTTTTTAAGAATCTGAGTTGTTTTGAGGCAATTATCAGTCAGAACAAGCACAAAGAAAAATTACACCAGCTTTTTTATGATGTACCTGCACTCATCAGGACTGGAGAGAGGAAAAAAGAGGAATTTAGTTGTAAAAAGAGTTTCATTAATGAAAAAAACCAAAAAAGTCACTTTCCTATTTGACAAGATGCTTGTTAAAATTTATCACTGATTCCAATTTGCTGTTCTTCCTGATTAGATGGTCTACGGTTTCATAATACTTCTACAGTCTTGATGGAAAACTCAGATTTAATAATCAAGAAGTTAGTGGAATTGAGTGGGAGATGCACTGGTGTTTACAAACCAGAGCAGGACAAAAAGTGGAGATTTGCAGAGTGGGTCAGACCTGCACTGAATTTAGAAGTGTTCTAAATGGACAATCTGAACTAGATATCCAATGGAAGATACCCCCTACCCATTGCAGGGGGGGACAGACTAGATGATCTTTAAAGATCATTTTCAATCCAAACCATGATCTCCTGTCTAACCAAATGCACATATGTTTATTGTGAAGATTGTAAATGATAAGCTGCATTCAGAACCAAAGACACAAAGATCTAAATAAAATAAAATATCACTGCAGTCACATCTGGACACATCCAACATCAGCAGACACTTTATAACCATCTGAGTGCTGTCCCTGTATTTGCTCTTCCTGCTTGAGCCTTGGCATGAAAGAAACTGTGAAGTCAGCTGTCAACTTCTCTTGGTTGTGTTTGCAGCTGAGGAATTCTCTGCAGGTCTCCAGAGCATAGTGCTGCTGCCCTGACCATCACAGCTCATACCATTCCCATACATATGAAACTCAAAATGATACACTGCCAGAGGAAGCAGCTCCAGCTGGGGATAAGAGCAAGGATGGCAGCTTCCAGCTCTACACACTCAAAACCCAGCATGGAGCAATTCCCCATAACACAAAACACCCCATGTGCCAATTCACCACACAGCACCTTCACAGATCAGGCTCTTGTGAAACTGAAGCTGTGAAACACCAAGCACACCATGCAGAAGATCCCATGCAGACACTATTTACTATGGTGCTGATGCCTCTGCACAACTGCTTTGTGTTCACAGCCACTGCCACCCCTGCACCTCCCAGCCCTGGCACAGCCCAGGTGTGCTCCTGCACACCTGGTGAAGCTCAGAGCATCTGGCTGACTTTCAAGGGTGCAGGTGCTTCCCTGGGAAACAGAGCATATCTGCTGAGCTCAGTGAAACAGGGATGGGGCTGCCCACAGGCTTATGGCTCTGCCTCAGTCAGGATGACCCAGTGCTGTTTCCCCCAAACCTAAGACCACCAACATTGCCCCCACCATTCCCCAAAAAGCATTCGCCTCTGAGCCAACATTTCCTTTTCTGTTTCCTTTTTTTCCCCCTTCTGCCTTTTACTGACAAACAAATAGAAGAACAGTGAAAGCAGTCATGCCTGGTTTTCTGTACATTTGTGTAAATTGTTAAACTGGATCACACTGAATATTCTCTATCATTTCCACATATTCCTTCAAAATTCCCCTTCTACTTCACCTCACAATTGTCCTTCCACAGATATTTTGGCTGTGATCTGTGGCTTGCTGCATCTCACTGCAGGTAGGATCTGAAGCTAGAGACAAACACATAACTGTCCCAATGCCCATCTTCCTGATCACACCTATTTTCAACTGTGCTTGCAGAAAATTAATTAGCTTTGAAGCTTCTTCCCTTATACCAAATTTGGCTGAAACAGGCCAAAAGATGAGGGACAGCGACAGAATGAGCTCTGTAAGCCCAGTTGTTGCTGGAAACAGGGTAAAGGTGATCAGGTTATCTCACTCTTCCCTGTAAATCCCACAACATTTGTGATCCTGACTTTCCTAGATGAGGGAAGGGAGGTGCAAGGCAGCGTCCTGGGCCAGGGTAATGAGTGTCAGTGTCCCTGAGCCATGGCTCCTGGGATGCTCCTGAGTCTTGCTCTCCCCCTCCCAGGCCACAGCTGCACCTAATGGTCTGCTCCTGTTTTAATGCATGACCTCGTGCAAAATTCATGTGGCAACATCAGCCACAAAGGAAGAAAATTCAAAGGACATCAAAAGACAGAGCAAGGCTTATTTATATTTCACTGAACTCCCCCTTGCCTCCGCAGGCAGAAAAAGCTAGGAACATAAAGGAATGCAATGGAAGAGAAAAAGTGGAGAAGGAGAAACATCTAGGTTACAGCTTTGAATCAATCAAAGATTTGTTAAAAGTCAGACTAAATGTTTTCAATTCCCCAGTCTCTGGAAGTTCAGCTCTCAACTCTTATGAGGACAGGAGGACTGGCCTGAAACAAGGATGCTCCAATACAGAGGAAGGGCCAAGATCCCTTCAAAACATATCTAAGTGTGTGGAAAGATGAAAATTTGTCTGGTAGAGTTTTTCTAGAAAATTATACAGACTGTTGCTTCTCTTCCGTCTTCCTTTTCACAGAGTGGTTTTCTGCATGTCTAATTGTTGGCTTTCTAACCCTACACTTTGAGTAGTTCATTTTCTGCCATATGAGAATCATGATTCACCACAGAACTTGCACAAGTCAAATGCTTTGTTTTAGAGGTCAGTGAAAGAAACAAATGACTTTTAATCTAAGATGGGTAGTCTTGGGCACTCATAACTAGCTACAGATTGTCTTTGTCCCTTCGACCAACACCCTGGGCAATGGGGAGGAGGAAAAGCTCAACACTTACCTGAACAAGGAGAGTTTATTGGCATCTCCAAGCAGTAGCTCCTCCCGGACCTCAGGAAGGAGGTCATTTGGGATAAAGCAACAAAGTTGCAAAAGAGGATTGGACCCCCCCCCCCAACACATCCTTGGGGTACATTTGCAGGGACTGCCACAACTCATCCCAGAATATTAGAGAAAGCATCAAGAGCATCTCAGAGTTTGCAAACATGAGCCACTTGCCAGAAGATCAAAGCCCCAGCAGACAGCTTTAAATATGCAGTGTTGCTCCTGACAGAACTGATAAATGGTGCCACTTCAGCTCCTCCAAGGCAATGGCTTAGCAATCTGCACATCCTGATGGGAACCTGAGCTGCACTTTATCACCTGAGCCCAGTCCACAGCATATGCATTCCCTTCCAGGGGCAAAATCCACATCTGATATTCACTGCGGGGCTGCACCATGGACAAGTCAACTTCTATCCCTAAAGCTGTCCCTGTTCTCCTTACATTTTGTTATAAGGACCGTGGACAAAGAACCACTTTTTTTGGGCTGCTGCCACTGTGGAGTGCCCAGAGGAGTGAAGGCAGTCCTCATCCCTCCAGCTCACCTGCCAACAGCTCCTGCTTGTCTGCCCATACTGCAGGGAGTTGAAAGGAAAAAAAAAAAAACCCTCATTTTTAGAATTTTCTTTTTAAATGAGCAAATGCACAAAGCTGCAAAAGGAAACCAGGTGAAAAACAAAAGTGCTTGGCTCCAAGCAGAATCTGTCATTGTGAATGAGGTTTAAACCAAACTATAGAAAACCTGTGTGCAGGAACAAAAACTTTTGATTTGCTTCAGCAAAGCCATCCAGGACAGGAGCACAAAAGTCAGAAGCAATGCCTTCTTTTAAATTTATCACCCCAAAAGTGTGTCACAGCACTTATGAATGAGCCCTAACTCGTCTTCATTTAATTCCTGAAATTTGTTTAAATAATGAAATAATCCAGCAACAGTCCTCTGATAATTGACCCCCTGTTAAAACAGCTACAGAGCATCTGACAAGAGAATGAAGTGGGATCTTAATGGCAACTCTGTGCATGACTGAGGAAATGCCAGATTTCCTATCTGGTCACCTGGCCCCAGACTGGGGAAACTGCAGAAAATCCCACAGGAAAAATAAAACATGTTTTTAGGCCTGGCTGGCACTGGAAAACACTTGCCTATGTAGCAATGCCACCTTCTATCAGCATAAGGTTACTGTACAGCTCAAGCTAAGGAACAATAAAAACAAATCCAAAAGGTTTCTTTTACTGAATACTGAAATCTTTTCACTCTCATCTTTATCCTGTGCACATAGCTAAATTTTACACCCTACTTCCACCACAACAAAAGGCAAATATTTGGGTAGAAACTGAA